ATACCAAAATTGTGACTTTGTGTGGCCATGTACCACTTTTCTTTCAGAAAACTGTCTTAGCTTCAACTCATCTCTATCGGATTTTTGACAAGTTGTGCAAACGTTTCATAGATTGCCTCAGGAAAACTCACCTATTGCCAGTCTAGTGGGCTTTTTCTTAGGTGGGTGTCCTGAGCCAGAGTTGTTTTCATCCTCCTTCTGTGAACAAAATAAATGCTTATTATAGCTTAAAAACGAAGAATTGACAGACATTTAAAATTATACTGCACATTAAAGTCTACCTTAGCCTTTCTAGTCCGGGTAATGTGCAGGTAAGCCCTCTGTCCAGTCCGAGCATGATGTCTGCCCACGTACTGACTGCCAAAACCCAGAAAAGTGTTCATGCACACGTATATGCCTCCTTCACTCTCCTGTAAAGATAAAACATGTGCCAAAAGTCAGAGAAATACAAATAACTCAAAACATCAAGTCATAACACAAGAAATTAAAGTTGGAGCACATCTGTAGCTCTTGATGACAAAGCATCCGTTGCTCTAGCTCCTGTCAACCTGCTAAGCTTCACCACTTCGCAGATTATGTTACAATTCCAGCACAAAATGAGATAAGAAAAAAGAGTGGTTAAAGTATGCGACACATTTATATTAAATTCAGCTCATTCAAAGTCATAGCTATTAAAAAAAAGTTTACTTGTTTTCTACTTTGCCAGTTAAAACACTCAGCTACTCAGCTAGCGCTGCTAACTTTCCATTACAGAGCATTACTAGCTTAGCATCATGCTAGCCTGCTAGTTAGCTGCAACAAGAAAATCTAGCTCAAAGTAGGAAATCGCTGGTATTTTTTTTTCTTGTCACAGTACAGCAAATGACATGAATACATTTGGAAAACTAACACTCTTCTTCTGGCTAGTGAAGGTAGTGCTTCATGAAAGGAAAAGGCTCACCGGTGACGAAAATGACAGGGCGCATTCGTCTTTGTGGACACGGTCCCCAGGCTTTGGGACGCGAATTGTGGACAAAACTGACATCAAAACCTCTCCAACGTCCGCCATGGTGAGATGACTAGTTCTGCTTTTCAGTGGGACGGTTGCTGTCCTGAGTTTGGACACCTAGTCGGTTGTTTACCTGGTTCTAAAGGGCGCCTGTTGTCTCTCCTATGTGTTTGGTCTGAATGAATCAGGAGCCGATGCCTGGTGTTGAGGGAAGGAAGGCCGAACGAGAGAAGAGCCAGCTTTTACCATAATACTTGGAATAAAGACACCCACTGTTATTTATGTAAACTTCACACAACAAATTGGGTGACGATTAAATTAATAGAAATTATTACAAAATTATGTGATAACCTTTTGCAAAGGAAAACGTTATTTTCATGACAAGCTGGATATTTGGAACATTTTAGGCCAAATATGTTTTTACCATTACTTTCTAACATTGCTATGGATTAATGATTCTTTGACATATAGTTTTTTGTGTTTTATTTTCCATTTTATGATTTCCATCTCAGATTTTTAAGAATTCATAGGTTGGTGAACTCTAATTTGGATTATTCAGCGCTATTTACAAAACAATGCATAACAACAGTTATGGAAATCTAACAAAACTTGGACATCTTACAATTTTTTTTTTTTTTTTTTTTTTTTTTTTTTTTTTTTATTAACCCCTTTTAAGAAAATTTAACCAAACGGGGCCGAAATTTTGTTTTTTTCGG